CCCTCTCCAGTAGCTCCCCAACAAGGGTTCCACTGCCTGGCGTTACTCGCACCAGTAAAACAAGACTGAGTTTGGTTTAGAAGCAAAGGAAGGCTTTATTCTTTGATCAAAGAATGCAGAGGCATGAGCTCACACTCTACAGCATGTGCTCTCCCGACAGACAAAAGGTGGGGCTACTTTATGAGGTTCTCGGTGGTAGGAGGGGGCACAGCTCTCTTAGGCTGAGCACAGGCTCACTGCTCTGGTCTCTGACCACAGTGCCCAGCGCAGGGTCTCTGCACACGGCCCTCGGCTGCCATCTTGAATCACAGTGTCCTGCCTGGTGCTTCTGCACAAGGCTCAGGAGCTGGCACCTCAGCTCAGCCATTTCATTTTGCACAAGGAACCCTAATGGAAGCACCAGGTGCAAGGCCTCTGCACGTGGCCCCCCTGCGAGCAAGTGAAACAAGAGGAAGCACAAAGGAAAAGAAAAAGGTTAGACTTTATTATACAGATTCTATTTCTATTCCCCAGGAATTACTCATGGGCTTTGCCAGTGACACTTCCTTGTCTCTGTGATTATTATCCTTGCTGTGTTATATAAGACAACAGGCATAAATCTCATGCACTTCGGGATCAGATACAGGGGGCAAGGTTCAGGACCACTGGCATCAGTCTTCATTAAAGTATTTCTTTGGGTGCTGGGTTAGGGCTGCAGGTACCGACAGGGGCAGCATAGCAGAGGGTGTCAGACCAAGGATGGCGGGGCTGAACGAACAGGGTTCAGATCCCGACTGCACCTCTTACCAGTTGTGTGACTTTGGACAAGTTATTTCATCTTTCCATGCCTCTGTATCTAGAAAGAGGAGTAAATGATAGTACTCGATAGATTTTGTTGAGTTTTGAGGAAAATTCAGTTCTTTCTGCCACAGGTGAAACAGTCCGTGTATCCTTTCTTATTTAAAGAGGGCCCGTCCTTAACTGGAATTCAGGCTAGTGGGGTTCCCTTGCCCACAGATCCCTCATGAGTTCCAGAGGATGTATGATTCTGTAGTTGTTCCAGCTTTTTCTCATTAGTGTGGGTGCAACACTTTCTCCAGCTTTCTAAATCCTAGGTAGAAGCAGAAATTAGATCATATCTTTTCTTAATTTAGATCTGCACAGTTTTAATTGTGTAGACAGTAATTGCTTAGATAAGTCCCTGGTACAGGGAAAGCATATATAAATGTTTTATTAAATAAATGAAGAATCATCTAATACAATGCATTATGCATGTGCAAATGTGCATACTTTCCCTGGGGTACTTGGTCCAGTCTACTCTGAGGCCAGTGGAATTCATGAATGTCTGATAATATAGCTAGTTCTAGTTCTAATATTCTAAAACTCTGAATAAAATAAGAATAGATTTCTAGTAATGCATGAGATTATATCACATTATCTAACATATGTATAGTTGGAGTCCCTAGAGAAGAACAAGAAAGATAAGAACAAGATATTTTTAATGGCCTCAAAATTGCAAATTTGATTTAAAATATTAATCTACAGATCCAAGGATCTCAACAAAGCCTAGGCATGATAAACAAATAGTAAAGCAAACCTAGAAATAAGCTAATTTAATTTCTGAAAACCAAAGATAAAAGGAAAATCTTAAAAGCAGTCAGAATCAGTAAAATGGCATAAGAGGAAACCCTACATTCTCCATACCCTGGACCCATCAACTCAAAAATAATACACAGCTCAGTTCCCTTTGTGAGAAGTCCAGAC